TTAGTTCAGGGAGCACAGCGAATTTGCATTATAAGCAGTTTAGAAGCCGGGCATCCAATCACCCAGAGGAGGGCGTTTATACTCTTACATTTTGTATGTGAATGTGAGCAAAGAGTAGGCACTCAATATTCATGTTTTAGTAGACTGAGAGGCAAACTGGTTCAGTGGAAAAGACATGACCTTTGAAGTTACACAGACTGAGCATTCAGTCCTAATTCTGCTTTGGTCAAGCAATCTAAAATCTCTACGACTCAGTTATCTCATCTGTAACATGGGAATTAAACAAATCACCTTGGAAAGGATTCAATTGGGGTGACTTTTATAAAAGTTTCTTGTTACAAATGCCTAGTAAATTGAGGCCATTAGTAATTGATACTTGAAATTGTACACTTCTTATGAAGTCTAGCATTTAACAGGCATTTTTGTGCATTATCTCATTTAATCCAGATATCTATATGGATTATAATGTGAGGATTACCACATATTTTTTACTAATAAGAGCGCTTTTTCCCATATCAAAAAACTAACAATTAGAGTAAGATCAAAAACAAATCTTGCACCTTCTGAGCTTTCTGACAGAGAACCTGCAAATTAAGATACTGTGTGTTTTTAAATGATTTATTCTATCATCTTTAATCCTGACCCAACACACCCTCAGGCTGTGAGAAATGAGAATACTTCACAAACATTACCTTAATTATTAAAAAAATCAGGACAAAATGTAACATTGATTCTTTTAGCAGAGGAACTAACAGCACATCCCTAAAGAGATTTAGTGAGTTGACATTTTCAGATGAAAATTACAGTAAGATGTCAATGGAAAGAAGTTATAACTCTTCCAACCCATTATTCACTATTTTAATGAGATTTGAGGTTGACCTGAGTGGAAAAATAACAATGATCCTCCAGACCAGAATATGTTGCATGAATTGATTCTGAAACCCCATGTTACAAATAATGCTCTACAACTGCAAAAATCTGTCAGAACTCTATTTGGCTCATGAAAGCCACATTACTTTTGTTCACTCTTCTAAAAATCCTCCCCTTTTCTGGCCATTTTTGGTTCCTCCTACAGTTGGCTAAGAAATTATTAAAGTATGCTCACAGCAAATACATTCACATGTGACACTAGCAAAAACTCTAGGGGGGTGGGTAGCGTGGTGTACTAAGATTCTTTTTGGGGGGTTGAATCCTAGCTCTGTTACTTGCAGGACTTACCTGAAGATTTCCTCAATTACCCAAATTACTAAAAAAGAAAAAAAGATTAATTTAAAAATCATAGTGTTTACTCAGTGGTGAATGATTTATATACTTTAGCCTTCATTACAACTCTATTAAGTAGTTGGCTTAAATCTATTTTTTTTAATTGAAGTATAATCAGTTCACAATGTTGTGTCAGTTTCTGGTGTACAGTATAGTGGTTCAGTTATATTATGTATATTCCTTTTCATATTCCTTTTCATTATAAGCTATTATAAGGTATCAAATATAGTCCTATATGCTATACGATAGGACATTGTTGTCTATTTTATATATAGTAGTTCATATTAAATATCTTTATCTTGTAAATGGAGCCACTGATTTAAAGTGGCTGAGAAAATTGTCCAAGAACTTACAGCTTCTAAGTAGCACCACTAAAACTTAAATCCCCAGTTTTCTATATTGCTAACCGGCTCCCAAATAACGCTATCTACATGTTACTATTTGTGAGAATTCCTTGAGATAAATTCATACAACGTTCACAGTCCAAAGAGGACTTGTAGTAAAGATCAGTTCCCATCTCTTCGTATCTACTTTTAGTTTTCTCAAAGCAGTTTACATCTTTTATTTCATTGGGACTTCATCTGACAGATATAGAAATGGAGGAAATTTGGGACTAAATGATATCAACAAATTTCCAGTAGAACCGGTCCTGGAACCTGGGGTTTTTGGTTTCACATTTGCAGCCTTATCTTCTCCAAATGTGTCAAAATCCTGCAAGAAGTAACTTTCATTTTTCACTTCTCTGCAGTCTTTCTTCCCTTTTTGGCTTTGGGCAGAAAGGCATATGCTTATTTTCATAAACGGATGAGTGTCTTGATGTTACAGAACATGATAAGACACACTTAAAATGATTAGTCTAATCTTTGGAATCTTCATGGCAGGAAGGCCACTCTCAGCAGGACTTCCTCTCCCAGTGCAATGACAAACCTTAATGGAATCTGGCCTGTGGAGTGTCTGGGTTATGTGCAAGGCTGGTGTTAGAGCAAGTGCAAGCAAGTTCTCCGAAGCTCAGCCTTTACAACACAGCACAACTCAAACATTCCTTCCAGGGACCGCCCACCTTTTCCAGTGGGAATCTACCGAAATGATTCTCTTGGAAACAGTGTGGAAGATTGGGGGAAAGGCGTTAAGTATGTTTTCAGCCGAGATAGTGGATGGTGAGTGGGTGGAGACTTAAGGGAGAAAATGACAAGCAAAGATGGAAAAAATAAGCACGACTGCCACCAAAATATTCTGCTCAAGGATGAGGGGGTATACCCTGCAGCTGTTAGCACTGTTCGGCATATTCTGCATATTTACATATACCAAGTATTTCCAAACAGCCTTGTGTTTGTTTTAAAATCCCACACGGAGATGTCTGGTAAAGCTGTCACTGTGGAAAGCTTATTTTCTTGGTGATGTTTGCAAAACTGTTTTCAAAATTCTGCATATACAATCATAAGAGACAGAAGAGTCGCTGTCATTCCCCATATTATAGAGAAATTGGGACTGGTCCATTTACCCATCAGACAACATTCAGAGTAAAACACCATGTTCTAAGGCCACGAAAGCACCTGGTTGGTTGAAGCCAAGTTTTTATTATTACTTTTGATTCAATATCAGATGAAACACCAATCATCACACAGCAATCCCTGGCTAATCCTGAAGCCACCAAAGTGTGATTTTCTTAATTACTGTTGACGCTCATCTTTGATTTAGGAGTTATTTTTTGTAAGAAAAATGATAATAACACTGGGTGGATTTCTCCTATAGCCATTTTCTTTTGGAAACATAAAACTCCACGGAACTGCACATAGCCCATTTGAAATAGATCAGCGAATTTCCAGCAGAAGGAATGGGGTAGTTTAAAGCTATATTTTCCTTTTAGCAAGATCCACAAGAAAAGGATAGAGTGTCATGCTTAAAGGGGAACAGATTTTGTATTTTTTGGCAAGATATTAAATCCTCTGTTGCTATATTTGGCTCCCTGCAAATAGTCTCTTGTACAAGTGCAAAGCAAAGATCAGGACTGGGGTTCTTCATTCAGCCACAGCCAAACTTGGGAGGGCAAGTAAAACAGTTGGGCTTATGTGTTATTTCTAAGAGAGTCAAGCTCATTTATTGATCAACAGCATTCCAGAGTCTAGGTTCCTACTTTACACTTTAAATATATCAAAACAAGTTTGCTTTCCATAACGGGTTTTCCACTGCTTAACTGATAACAGATGTAACGATTCAATCTGGACAGAAATGAAAAAGCTTTACGACGTCAGTGTAGTCATGTACAGATATTGAGTCAAATGGGTAGAAGCAGGTCAAATGAGATGACTGAAGTCTTAGGACATCAGAGAATGGGCATATATTCCCAAAAAAGGAAGCAAAACAATTAAATGGTAGTTGACTGTCCCCAGAGGAAACACACTTCAGCTAGTAAGAATCCGCACCAGATGTCCTGCTCTCCACCCCCCGGAGTGCCTGTCTGACTAAATACAACATAACCCTTTGGATTCCAAGACACTCTAATAACCACATAAACGTTTGAAGTAGCAACAAGTATTTCTTTTATGAATGTAGATGAATCCTACACAAATGACCATTGCAAACGTGGAACATGCCTCGAGTTCCAGCGTTACAATAATCCTCTCAGGTTAAAAGGCTAATAAAAATACTGAAATCTAATAGTAATTGTGGTAGGTCGAATAATGGCCCCCCAAAATGTTCACCTCCTAACCCCCAGAACCTGAGACTATGTTACCTTATGTTTAAAGACTTTGTAGATGTAATTAGGAACTCTGCCATGGGGGAAATATCCTAGATTATCCAAGTAGGACCAATGTAATCACAAAGGTCCTTAAACATGAAAGAGGGAGGCAGAAGAGAGGGTAGAGTGATATGGTATGAAAAGGACTTGACCAGCAGTTGCTGGTTTTGGAGCTGGAGGAAGAAAGCCATTAGCCAAGGGCTCAAAAGCTGGAAACAGGGAAGAAACAGATTAAAGCATCCAGAAGGAATGCAGCTGACACTCTGATTATTGCCCACCGAGTCCGATACTGGATGTTTGACCTACAGAGCCATAAGATAATACATTTATGTTGTTTTAAGCCATTAAGATTGCAGTAACTTTTTATAGCAGCCATAGAAAACATGTTAATACTTGTCTAGTCTAAATATAACAGACAAGTAAGAAGCCATATTATTTCACTTGTAATGATGGAGGGTCTACTAACTGAAGGACTAATTTCCAGGCTTGGTATTTTCACATTAAAGATTCACTTACTAAGACAATAGCGAGCGCATGAAGGGAACCTCTAGCTTCCCTTGAAGATGTAAAGTCTTGGACTTCTTTCCAGGTGCTCTCCTTCGATATAAATGAATTGTTAGGAAAGTTTTGCTTTTTCCTACTTACAGCAAGTTCCGTATTAACAAATGTAAAAGCAAAATGACAAAATCCCAAAGGGTCCACTGACAGCTTTAGAAGTGTTGTATTAAAAAATTCACAAGCCTCCTGCTGCTGTGTAATTGTTGTAGCCCTTTTCGCTTGTCTTCTATTATAAACACTTGCTTTATAACCATACACTCCTTACTATAACATGTAAATCCTTTGGCTGTAGAAATTAATCTCATTGAAAAAAACCTAAGATATTTTAGTTTCTAAAGATAGTTGTAAGTTGCTTAATTGCATAAGAAGAAAGCAGAGAGCTTTAGTTAATTGTCAAGCAGTGCAGACAAAACCAAATTGCTACATTAAAATATAAACATTAAGTTTACATTAAGTTATTTATTAAACAAATTGAAGATATTTGTTTTTATTACAAAGTCCTCCATCATCTTATATCATCAACACATAGCTATGAGACCTGCTTTTGAAGTGACTGGAAATATGAAAATGTCCCTTCCTCCAAGCCCATGAAAAACAACAAAAAATACATGATTTTTATAACCAGCTTGTAAAGCCAAAAGTGTTATGAATTACATACTTTTGGTAAATTAAGAATGTTAACATAGCTAAGATTAGTTCATTTCTCTTTCCAGACATGTAAAATTAAGATGACATATAATTGCTCATAAAACTAATGAATCTGAATCTTTTTGTATTTCAAAGTTGCAAGATAATACTTCTATTATTAGTTTGCAGTTTATTTAATCAAGTGACAAATAAAAGCTCGCCATGCTATGTATTTTTTTATAAAAGCTTTTCACCTTATCTAGATTTAAATGATGAAAACAAATTGAACGTATGTTTTCCCATTTAATATGTGCACTTTAAAACGATACAAAGAATTTACATGAAAACCCTTCCCTATATTGTATACCCAGAAAAATGTATGGAATAGTATTTTTAAATCAGATACAATACCCAAGATTGTAAACAGTCTAAGAAATTAAATCAAGTGTGTAAATCATTGTTATTAAATTTCACCCGAGCCACAGCATAGGAAAAAATGTACATCTCTATTAGTATAAAGAGATATTATTAGAAAAGTTCACATCTTATGCGTATACCAAAGACACTAATTAAAGAATCTTACATTCTAAAAGAGTTATTCTTAGGTCAAAATTTAGTAGTCCAAAAATCCTTAAAAAGGAAGCGAATTGCTGATGACCCATCATTTTCTAGAAGGGGTCGTTGTTTATTTACACAACAGAATTGGTAAATTACACTCAATTAGCATTTCTTGAAACTCTACAAGATTGGGACAATTTTATGGGCTCATATGTGTTTTCAAGAGAACACTAGATTGATCAATTACTTGAAACCATAAAAATATTTTTCAAACAAACAAAAAAGTACAATGGATAGTAAGAAAAGTAAGGCAATTAAGATATTTTAATTATAATGATTATTTCTATACTTTGGGAAAGTGTAGCGGGTGAAATTCCCAGAGAGCACTAAAAGGAAAATAACATACTGAAAAATTCTGTGACAAATCTCCATGAACAAGTTACCAGTTAATTAACATTTTGAAGCTACTGGGACTGAGGTTCACTTGCAGGCCTCACCCCTGCCCTACTCTCCAGAGACTTCCACTTTTGTGTGTCTACCCCGTCTTCTTCAACATTATTGAACTAAATTTTTAACCTGATTTTTCTAAAATGATTTACATAATAGTTTAATACTTTAATAATAGATTTAAAGGGCTCTTGGGCCATGTGTTTAGAGAAAACATTTTAACTGCTCTCTCCAATCAGCCTTAAATTTTCTGAAAGATGTGTCTTTCATCTTGGAGGGAAAAATTAAAGAAAAAGAAAACCTGAGTCCTTAGGTTCCTGTACAATTGGCAGACTGATTTCAGTCTTGGTTTCCTACAGTTTCAGCTTTTCGGCTCTCCTTCTGTCTGTCCTGGCAGTGATCAATCACAGGAATTCTAACAGCCATCAATACCCCTTTGTAACCACAATGGCTCAAGTGAACCCGTTCCATCTTCAGTAACTGACAGTGTCAACATCTGCTTCCAATGAAGTTGTTTCTTTTTTTCTCAAGTAGAATAAATCTGCTGACTGAGATTGTAAAGGTTTTTTTTTTTCTCCCCTTTTCATGCGGAAAATTTTTTTCCACAATATTTTGCAATTTTTCCTCCAAAGCAAGTTAAAAAAATAGGATAACTTCAAAAGAGATGTTTTCATTTGAGGTGCTAAGAAGCCCAAAATATAACTAAAAAAATAAAAACTGTGGTGATTTCATGAAACTTTTGCTTTAATTTTGGAGAAAAAATAATACACAGGGGCCTGGATGAATAAATTTTAGAATATGTAAGAAAACTAGGAGTTGGACCTACATACCATAATTTTCTTTCCTTCATCAACAGCACACTAAAATATCAGAGATAATTAAGAAATTTACATTTGATCTTCAACACATAGTAGAAGGCAAAGTTTCTCTTGTAACAATTTCTTGCAGAAAAGCACAGTCATATATCTATTGGATTGCTGCAGAAATGGGTATGGAAAATAAAAAGAAGGGATGTTTGGGAGTTCAATTTTATGATCTACTTCTCAGTTGAGAGATAAATGTGGCATCTGTCATTTACTGAACACCTACTATGAGCCAGATGATTGAGCATCTATATATATGATTTCCAACCTTCCCAGCCTGCCAGTTAGGTATTATTATCCTACCATACTCATGAGATAAATGAAGCCTCAGAACATACATCTAATTGTGACTAAGCCAGAGTTCAGAAAATGACCTAATGTCCAAGCCGATGTTCTTTTCCATTAATTCATTCTGCCTCTCTATTCACCCCGCCGTCAGAGCTCTAACATAAATACTTTCCTTTCCCATCACTTAGTGCCACTGCCCCAATGACTTAATTTGGCAAACATAAGGTAACCAAGAGACACTCAAGGATAGAACAGTCTCTTGAAACATAGTCTCTGATTGCTATTTGCATAATGAATAACGAGTTCCTCAAAGACATGTTTTATGCCAGTGTCTAGAATTTGTTTTTTTTAAAGTATGTTATAACATTAAAGAAACTAATTCCTCGATTATTTGCAATTCACTTGTTCTCATTTGCAAAATGTAGAATGATCCTGCCCCATTTGCTCAAAATAATAATGTAAATAATCTTAAAAGGAAAAAGAAAGGAGAAAAATTAAAGGAGAAATTTAGGAAGGATGGTTAACCTTCTTAAGAAGAAACATTGGTTTTTAAACATTTAGAGGTGCTTTTCAAATAAACAATGAGGAACCAAATAAGCTGTTAGGAATGAATTTGTCATTATCTTGTTGTTTCTTAGCTCATGATAATTTATTGGTCAAAGCATAGATTAGATGTCAAATAAATGAGATGATTTTCTAGGGTCTAGCTCCCTCACAGATCTTTAGAAACCTTGAATAAAGTCTGACTTGTAGAATAACCGAAGGTGGAGTGGTTCCAAATGAAACTGGGGAGGGAGATGGTAGCCCTCAAATAAAGCAGTCTGGAAGCCTCCAAGTTGAATAACATCATTTTGATATGAGAAAACCAGACCCAGAGAGTGGTAGCATTTTAAACTTCAATTCAGAATATCATGCTAAATTACAACTCATCCTCTTTCATGACTTCTGGTGGTAAGGGTAATACGATCTTAACATTGGGATGCCAGACAATTATACAGACAAGCACTCATTCATTTTTACTGAGATTTTGATCCACTCCTTGTATATGCAAGGATCTGATCCTTGCAATGTGCCAACAACACTTGGGCCTGTTCTCCATGGGGGATTCACTTACAGATCTCTCCTGTGTACAGCAGAACCCAGGTCCCCAACTTTTCTTGGGCCTCCAGAGCCAAGGAATGTTTCAGCATATACTTACCAGGAGTGACACAGGGCAGAGTCTAAATTCAGGGTCTGCTCTCTTTCCTTCAGTTCAATTCAGTGGAGAGTAAGGAAGGAACAAAGTTAATGCTTTTCTCCTCATAATTGGGAAAATCCAATTGAATGATCTGAATGAGATGGAGTACAACACTGTTCTAAGAGGAACTACAAAGGAACTTGAGAGCTTCCAAAGGAAGAGGGGGAAATAATCCCTAGTGAGTCGTTCCACGGGAGCTACTGAACACCTGTCTTTGAAAATTCAGGCAGACACAAAATCAAACCAACTTTATAGAGTCATTCAACTCAGTGCTCCATAGATTGGGGCAAATTACAAACAATTGTATCAAATCAAATTGCAGATCAAAATGTAGATAATTTAACCAAGCCACTCTCTAGAAATCTAAGTTCATATCATAAGTAAGTGAAAGATACCTTAAGTTTGGACCTCGCATTAGATAAAAATGTGTATACTGTGTTAAGGGGAGTCTGGTAAAGAAGCAGCAAAGTGGTGATGACAATACAACAGAGTATGTAGGTTTGTAACTCTTAGGATGCACCAGGAAAGAAGGCTTATGCATAAAAAATAGAGTTAAGGGAAATATCTGAAAAGTATCTGTGAGAACTCTGCATAGTCAAGCAGAGATTGTTTTGTTCTTAATATCTAAAATGTTCACACACATGAGATATGCAATTTAAGATAGAAGATGGTGATTCACTAAACATTGTATTTCACATGGGTGAGGATGGGGATGGGAAAAAATATAGAAACTTTCTTTTTTAACCAAACTAAAACTTCTATGAAACACTACTTTTTTAACATGACCCATCTCTGGAAACAGCTGAAAGACCAGATTTTGCATTGAAAGTCCTTAAAATACCAATAACTGCTATTTTTATAATCTTAATCTTTTGTAACAGCAGCTTAATGATAATCTCAACTTCTTCTTTAGATCCTAAGGGCCATATCAAGTTGAATCTTGAGTTCTCAATAATAAATTTCAAACAGCAAACTGTCAATTCATTAACCTACTTTCAGTAATTGTAGTATAAATCCCAATTTAAATTTATTTTGCCCCCAATTTTTTTTCTTAAAAAGAATTAAATCAACTAAAACTAAATTTAAACAAAGACTTACAAAAACCTATGTTTAAAATATTATATATGCAATACATTATTTTTCAATTGACAATGATGGGTAACACTCTCAGAAACAGCCATTGAATTAAAGGCTCTGTGATGTGTCTAGTACCTTCCCAAATGTTTTCCCTTCAAACTATCTTCAGGAAAAAAATTCACTTAAAATATGGCAAAAATTGCCAAGAATGAATAATTATAAATGAGAAAAGTCACTGGCACTCAAAGGTAGCATGGCTAAATGCATTTTTCCAGTAGTTGGATATAAACTCTGTTTCCATTTATCAAAGTCGGATGGACTGGGAAGGTTATATACTCAAGGAAAATGCTCCATCTAATTGAAAGTTTATGCAAACTTTCTTCCTAGTCAACTTCTAAGTACTCTTTGGGAGAAATCAAAGCAATGAAATAGGCTTTCTTTAGAGTGGTCATTTTAAAACTTCCTTTTCAAACCATACATGTACCTCAAAGCTAAGTGAGCTAGCATGGAGTTTAATCTTCTCTGAGATTTAATGTAAAACAATACTATACTGGCTTGGCTATGGTGCTACTTTTGTAAAAAGGAGAAACTAAGAAACATTTGAGGTAACCTAGAAAGCACAGAGCATATCACAGACATCTTAAACACAAGCATTTTAAACATTTTTGCCAGTGCTTCTCTGAGAGCTAGTTCTTTAAACAGAACTTAACAATTTTTACAATATTAAAAAAAAATCCCTCAAAAATAGCCCACCGATGCTAAGTCAAACTTTCTGTATTTCTACAAAAATAGATGCACATAGAACTACAAAATTGTATTCCTGAAAGAGCATTTTCTTCGTGGTTCATCTTTTCCTGGCAAGGTAACTGGTTCCAAAAGAAAAAAATAAAAGTCAAACTGAAACAAAAATTAAACCTTGTATTGATAAAAGCAAGACAAAAAATAAGAGAGTCGCACAGTTGGCAAAGGCTCAGATGAGGGAAGAAATAAACAAAAATGCTCTTCTTCAATGTCTAGGACCCACTCTACTTTCTCAAGAAAAGGCTCCAAACCAAAGTCAGCTGGATAACACTTCCTCTTCTCCTTCCGCGTCTACTGTGTTGTGTCCCCTTGCAGAATGACAAACCCTGGCAGCATCTTTTCCCAGTGGGCCCACGGGTTCACGCTCCAACCTGACCTGCTAATACTGTGTGTTTCAGTACCATGGTGATTCCTTGCTCTTGTCTTGATGCTGTAGACCTAGAAGAGGTGACAATGAGAAAGAAGAAAAGCATTCATACTGTAGCACTCAAAAACGGGCATCATCCACAGAGCACTGGATAAAGAGGCCAAAAAGACAGTCTAGGCATCTGCGAGGTATGACCTCAGGATGACCTGATCTCTAAGGAAATTCTGTGCCTGAGCTCATAATTTTCAAAAAGTCAACCCACATAGTAGACAACCAAAAATCTATAGACTAGAGCAGTGCTATTTGCACAGCACAAATTCTTTGTTTTTTTAATTGAGGTATAGTCAGATATAATGTATCAATTTCTGGTACACAGCATAATGTCCCAGTCATACCTACATACACATTCTTAACTGTGGTTAAGATTTTGATCTTCCTAGAGTGTGAGTGAATAATAAATAAAATAAAATAATACAAATGGAATCTTATTTCTAATCTCAAAAGGAACTGATATTGCAGGGAAAGGATGTAACCAATCTTTGGGGGCATGTAGGCAGTGCTTCACTTAATAGTTTTCAGCAACCATCACAATGATTCTTGCGGAATAAAGTAGTGACTAAATTTACTCATTTTTATCACTTTTTCCTTCAGAAAATATTTAAGATGGTTTATAAAAATTCCAGACCTCATAGCCAGAAAATAAAATTTACAGATAAATTAAAAAAATAGTGACAAGAGAAAAATATGTGAGCATGAAGGAATTCCAACTCAAAGCTAAAATGATTAGGAAGAAGTTGATCATAGAGGCGACAGAAAATGTGACTCTGATTTGGTTCTGATATAGTCCATTGACTAATTTCTGATGTGGGCAATTAGCATAGCATTTTCAGCTTATACCCACTCGGAGTCACTATATTTTTGTCCCACAGCATACTTGTTCGGAAGAGTAAAGACACTGAATAATGGTTGTTTTTAAGTTGTTTAAAACCAAGTACCAAAACAAGAAGAGAAGGTTGTTAAACAAGTGGGTAGAAATGCAGTTTGACTGCTGTTGTGCTAGGATCCCAGGCTGTCTTCTTGATCCTTGATCTAAAAGCTGTAGTTACGCCTGGGCTGGGTGTCAGATTGAAAGGTTAAAATGAGCCAGGATGGTCTTCAATTGCCACTAAAGTAGCTGCAGTGATTTCATTTCCTGTCCTTCAGCTTGTCAACGGATTTTATAAAACAATGGATGTCATTACAAAACAGAAACAATTAGTCAGTCATTGATGGGCGACATTAAGACAATCTACGAAAAAGACTACACAAAGGGAGATGGAACAAACAGAAGGACACACAGAAGCACCTTATAGAACCACAAGGCATGATTTCTGTTTCATAGCACTTGTATAGTGGGGGAAAGCAACACTTCCCTAAATGCAGAAAAATTAGTTCCATCTTAAGTTTTTTTAATGTGTAATGATAGCATTATGTTTAGATACAGAGTCAACAGTTTTCCTTTCCCATTTCAAAAGTAGAACAGGAGGAGAAAGAGGAGAAAGAGGAGGAGGAAGAAGAAATAAAAGGATCTGGGGCATATCAATTCACTCTGTTTGCTTTACTCATTTTCAAATAATTGTGGCCAGAATAATTTGCAACCTGACAGAGTCTCTGTTGGGTGACTCTTATAATCTAAACCAGCTTAACTGACAATCTGCTGACTGCATAAATATTTTTTTTCATTATTAATACATTTCATCTTCTGTATGACTCAGTATTTCCACACTTGAAGACTCCATCAATCTATAGAATGTCAGCGCTGCAAGTCATGAATAGTGTTGGACTCATCAAGTGGTTTGAGTGTCTTTTTTTCTTCTTAAATAAAAGCAATTCCTAGTTTGCCTTGCAAAGACAGATGACTCCATCAAAATCATGTTAGCCTTTTTCTGTAGACGAGTATTACATTACTTAACATAGCCCTAAATTTTCCAACCAGAATAACTGGTTGGAATAACTCTCATTATAACTTCAACTTTTCAATATAGTTTTTTGTTCCCAAGTCTTTGCATTACTCCAAAGCAAACCTTAAAAAAATCAATTCATGTATAGCCTGAAACATATTAAATAGCTAATGTGCTCTTTGTGGTTTAGCTTCTTCTTAGTGATGGGACATAAATCAAACTTTGCTTTAATTACCAGGTATCCATACCTGTAAATTTCAAAATAGGGATAAGTAAAGCACAAGAAAATGAACAACTGCAAACAAAAGACACTACTACTAGTAAGCTGTAATGGAAAAGCAGAGCTATGACTTTTTTTGTTAAACATTGTTGAGGGTAGATCAGATTATTTAAGAATCAGCCACTACATGTTGTTTTCCCAGCAAGGGTGAAAGGAGACAAAATCATTAACCCATGATCCTTGTGTGGTCTACATATATCTTTAACCCATGATTCTTAGATATTTAGAGTTTCCTCAAATTTTCTTACTAAAACACAAAATCCACTCTGCTATTATTTTGCTCCTATTTAAGCTTTTTTTTTTTTTCCTCCTCACTTCCCTGACTCGAACCTATATGAAATTAGTGTATAACACAGCCTAAAATCTCCTCACTGGCTAGCTGAAATCACCTATGTTTATCTCTTGATATTAGTAACTCAGTTTTAGTTTTATTGTTTAGTTCATGAGATTTTCAGTAGAAAGGGAAATAAACATCATAAAGATATTAGTAAACACTTTCTTAGGGCTGAATATGCCAGACATTGTGCTAAGTGCTTTATGTGAAATATCTCATTTGAGGCTTCCAACCATGCGATATATTTTTTTAACTTCATTATACAATTGAAAAATTGAGACTAAGAGAGCTTACGTCAGCTATTAAGTGGTAGAACCAGGATTTAAAACCAGGTGGTCTGCTATCAGAGTTAACGGTCTTAACCACAACGTATGTCTCCCCTGTACGGACTATATTGGCTGTAAGCTGTCACACTTAGCATATACTCCTGCAATTCCCCAAGTCAGAATCCCTTTGTTAATTCAAGGAAAAGCCAATGCATTTTTAATATTCCTTTTTACACTGTTTAGAAACACCCTGGTTTAAGAGAACTGATACTAGTATTAATAAAAGGGTTCTCTTAGTGTTTTTCTAAAAACTATACCTTTTCAATGTTTGTCCTAAAACACAGCAAATGATTACACAGTAGTTTGCTATACTTCAGATGAAGATTACTCCAATCATGTAATAGGACATGTCTTATTAATTGAGATTTTTTTTGATATGTATCTTTAACATAAGCACCCCTCCTCCCCACCTTCCACAGACTTCCTCAGTGTGAACACGGAGTTTGAGAGTCTTGGACTGAGTCAAGAGAAAAGCCCGAAAGGTAACGCAGGCCCACAGATCCAGTTCCTCACCTCAGTTCCATCAGCACTAACACCTGATCACCGGAAGAAAGGGCAAAACAAAGCCCGGACCCAGGAATAGAACAAAGGACGTATGAATATAGGAGGGGCAGAATGCTTAAAAGTGAGAGAGAAGTCTTGGTCAAAGAAGAACATAACATGATTTCTCTTTAAAATTTGAAGAATCTGACTATATAACAAGGCATCATAACTCATTCTCTCATTTTCTGTCTGAAATTTTTGGGAAGCTATTGTTTCACAGATTCACTTCTTGAAAAAAGCTCTGGGGATAAGGAAGTCGAGATAGCAACAGGGCGTGTCTAAGTTTAAAAAGCCTGGAAACTTCCCTCTTCCTAGTTTCCTTCAACTCCTAGGTCTCTGGTGAAATGATCCTAAAGTTCCCATGGGCCCCGTAACAAGGGTCCAGAAGTTAGCTCAGAGAGAGTTCTGGGCCTGCTGGTGGGTCCCATGGCTATGATGTGGGTACCCCACAGCAGAAGAAATGGCATAGGCCACTCCAGCTGAGCACCTTGGCGGGATCACAAAGACCACGAAGCTGAACTCAAGTAAACGTGCCATTGCTGGGGCGGTCGGGCTGGGGGTGAGGGCCCTGGACAGAGAGGGCACAGAGAAACAAGAGTCGGGGGAGGGGATGTGTCTGCAACAGAGGCCAAGCTAGGAATGAACTGACAAGACCAAGTAACAGACAGCAACCTTTTAATTGACAATTTTCATGACTAACACTGGGAAAGCAGAGGCAATCCGTAGGGAGAGGCTGAGGGAAGAATCCAAGAAGAGGTTTCAGCTCTGAGTGGGACATTGTTTTAAACTGAGAGCAGTGAAGATATCACTGGGTGGGACTATGAATACTCAGAATTGATGAGGTTAAGTTTTCTACTATTGGGTAGAAGTAAAGGATACATTGGGTTACTGAAAAAGTTACATGCCAGCACACCTGAGTTTTAGGATATATGTGATTATCAGAGTCAAATCCACTAGGAAAAACATGTCCTCCTTCTCAGGAAGCATAAACACTTGACAACACCATTGACTGCAGCTCTTAAGTCAGTTGAATGTGCTTCCAATTAACTTTATTGCTTCAGTTAAAAGAGGTAATGTGGTAACCATCCACTGGGGAACATGCTGTTGATAAAAAGAGAAGAAGAAAAATAGGAACATAAAACCTGGATGTGTGGGTAGAATATTTTATGACTGAAAAGTAAAGAAAGTACTTAAACAAACTTTTCATTTCATAGATATTGAGTCTAGAAACCCTTGTGGATCAGAATGCTTACTATTAGAGTAAAACAAGCTAGTAGCTTATTTCTACATTAAAAAAAAAAGAATCCTTTGCTTCACCCTGGCTTTTATAAGAACAGTCATGATTATTACAAATATAAATACATATAACAGTGTTTGGATGCTACATCAAAATAGCCAACCTTCACCAACAACCTGGCATCTAACACTGACACAGGGACCAATGATCTCAAACTACGTCAAAAGAGAGACAGTCCTATTATCTTCTCCTCCTTTATAAAGTTATCATTGTTAATGATCAGACAACTACATTTGTTTGTCTGAGCCCTGGGACAATCCATTTAAATGCTAGTTAAGAATTTCTAAACAAGAGCCACATGGGGGTTGCACCTTAACACTAATGAAAAGGGAAAAAAGAAGAGTGAGAGCT